ATGCACCCCAAAAAAATTTCTGCACTCAATTTTGTAGGTTGAGTGCATCCGTGCACCTATATGTATTCCCAAAAATAAATTTTGAGCCCTGTACTGTGATACAAACTCTCTTAGTGATCAATATTTTATATAGACTCACCTGGGTGAAATCCACCGTGCCTTGGAGATTTTCGTCCTGTGGGAAATAAAATAAACTTGTTATTTCGATATAATCATGAAGCACTGTTAATTTGTTTACATAATCATATTTTATATCGATATAAAAGAACTCATGATAAATTCGCAAGAAGAATATCTTTTTATCAAACTCTAGGTATCTAACTTTATGTATTTAACCCCAGATAGGCATGGATATGCAAGAAACTTCATTGTCATTATCAATATAACATTCAGATTAGAATGAATTAGATATGAATGGGGAAAATGGTCAAGTGACATTATAGGATAGCCTATTTCATTTGAATTTAAAGATTTTACAGGTTTTTTGTGTACAGTTTTTTTTAAGAATCTTATTGGAAATCTTACAGGTACAAACATTATTCTAGAGTTTCAGGAACTGTTAATAATTGTCCTTTAGGGCTAACTGTAACGTTAAGTATTTACTGTGTTTCCTTAGACCAACACCTTTGATATGCAATGTGAGTTTCTCTTTTACAGGATTGTTTACTTCTGCATCTCTTCCTTAAAAACATGGGAACTGAACAGTTTGGTTTCACTTTTTCACCTGTCAATTTGCAAACATCTATGTGGAAGTAAAGTAGAATTGGACAAATAGCAACTTGCATTTAGAACCTGAAACATTGTGACAAGCACAAACATAGGTCCAAAGGCTGCATTCCTTAGCTCGGGATTTTGTCAAATATTTGCTGCCTCTCTTGCAATATCAAGTGTCACCTGTTTAAAGTCCACATTTTTGGGCCTCAAAAGCAAAATTTGGAAATACAGTCTACAAAAATTTAAATGTGTAGATTTAAGTTACAATTTGGTATCATCACATTTTGTATATATGCACATTAGGAACCTTCCTCTGTTGTTATTTTGAACAGCTGAAATTGGAGCAGTAGAATTATTGTCACTTAAATTAATGCACCCTTTTCTTGAATGCTCAGTTTCAGAGCTACTCCTTATAAAATTGTTTCCAATTTTCAGGAATTTCCCACACTGACTCACTCACTGACTCGCTTGAGGAAGAATTGTTTCCCAAGATATTTTCCAAATTAGTATAATTCTCAACCATACTTACCGACAAGTCTGAAGACGACTTGAAGTAGTTGAGTGTGTTGTTCTTCAGAACAAAAAAGTACTTCTTGGGCGTCTTCAGTTTCTGGATTGAGGAAGCAGAAGACATAATTATTGATAATGACAGACCACCCAACATAAGAAAGGAACATTTCATATCAATCATTTCGACTATCTCTTTACAATTCCAACAACGATTGCTCCTCTTCAACTGTGACATTTCCACTTCAATTATAATTATGACAAATATCCTCTTTCAATTCGTGTATGAAATAGCTGCTAGTGAACAAAAGTGTGACATCTATCAAATCTTGACATAAAATAGCTCAAGGGAAAAAAACCAACATCAGATCAGTCATTTCAAATTTTTCATTACTCCTCTTGAAGTATGACATTCTGTCAGATAATTTTTGCATTACTGCATTCCTTTCTTCAATATTCTTTTGCAAATGTATTATTGAACATAATATCCAAGTAGAAATTTTTCGGGAAAGTTGTAACCAACCACCAAGACACTTTCAAATTGGCCAGACAGTATCCAATATTGGCTACAGTGGCCTATTGGATGTCTAGCCAATTTGGCATTTTCAAACTGTGAAATACCAGTGCCTGTTAAAAAAAAGCGTAGAATCTATTAAATCTTTAAGATTTAACATTGCCCCCCTTTCAATTACTCAAGGGGAAAACCAAGAACTGACGCAATAATAGTAATGTTGGTGGGGAAAAACCCAGAAGTCACTTCCTGATAGTAAGATACAACAAAAGACCTTCAGAGACAAAAGAGGAACTAGATTAAGTTTCTCTTAAGTCTTGTGACCAGTGAAGCATGAGACAGCATGACAAATTTTGAAGATTTCTGTTTCCTGGACAAAATCAAACTCATGAACTAAATCTATAGAATTATAGAAGGTAGAAAAATATAGTTGAAGAGGTTCATCAGTCACGTAGAATTAACAGTTAGTAGAAAATTCTTCAATCAGGTAAAATCATGTACCTCCATGATCAAGGTGTACAGTGGACACCGAAAATTTGAAAGTACGTGATTTTACCTTTCAAAAACAGTCACTGATTGAAGAATATTCTAACAGAAAAATATTGATATTGAAACATTTAGGGAAATCCCCATATTATTCATTTCTATACAATTCATATACGGTGTACAAATGTACATCCTTTTGGCAAGGGATACAATTAATGATGAACAGGCATGTTATTTCTTGTTTACTATGAAAACTAACCGATGCGTGGGACATCAGGGGAAATGAAACTTCAGTTATGCATATCATTTCAAATCAGCAGTCTGTAAAATTGGCAAACTTAAATGTACAGACAGTGCTGAAATCACAACCCACTGGTTTATCCCAACAAAATTATTCTAGCCTCTACCAGGCCTTCCTAAAGGGGGTTTAAAAGGGTGGTACAATTCGGCAGGATAACCTCCACCAGGCCTTCTTAAAGGGGGTTAGGATGGTATAATATATTTGGCAAAACAGCGTAGCCTCCACCAGGCTTTTCTATAGGGGTTTAAAAGGGTGGTGCAATTCGGCAAAATAGCCTCCACCAGGCCTTCTTAATTAAAGGGGTCAGGATGGTATAATATATTTGGCAAAAATAGGGCCTGACTGGCCAGGGGAGTGGGTACATCGTAGGGTTTAATTTTGCAGGCAAATTATCTCTACAGTGGCCGATTCTTTTCCTTGTTTGGATGAATTTTACTGTTTAGTTGTTAGTTAGCCTCCATAGCATGCCAAAAGCGGGGGTTTGGGGGGTCTTCATGGTCTTTTATGTGCTATTTTCTGATTGCATATACTGATATAGACAACATAGCCGGCCTGGTTGAATTACCTTCGTTTTTAGAACGGGGCTAAAAAGGCAATCTCGAGTCAGCTCACGTTCAAATGGACGGCTGTAGCGTGCTCGGACTGTTGAAATATCAGTCGTCTTGTCATTCGTGGGAAACGCCGAGATGTTTACTTCGAATAGCGCCTGAGGCGCCAAACATTAATGCATATTCGCCTTACTTCCGGGTTGGGAAAAAAGTTGTAAGGTCGGTGGGCTTACGTTAAACAAATAACCTAAAAACAGTGGTTTTAAAAAAGGGGTGTGTGCTTACCATTTTGGCCTGCTTGGTGAGGAACCCCTCGAATTTTAGCTCCGGCTCTGGGTCCTCTGTACCCATGTTTTCGACAGTTAATCCAAAATCCAGCGAAACACGCGAGCTAGAAAATCCGTGGTGGTGGCTGTGCTATATTCGTTCGTTCTGACTCAGACTACACTATATACTCTGCTATTCGTGCGGTACTATAACAGGTGCACTAAGAAAAACCTCCAAGCTGCATCAGAATGTTCCTTTCAAACCCGCCATTGCCGTAGAGTTGAGCTCTTTCCTCGTGGAACCGAAACAAGCGTGGTTGTCAGAGTACTAGTGTGTGCCTCCAACAAGGAAGTGACCGCGTTTTGCTGTGGGGAGTGAAAGTCGCCTGACAGCAGACGATACAACAACATGATTAGTGTGGACTAGTCCATTTTTCGCGGACACTTTTGTTATAAATAAACCTCTTTTTCATCAAGATATTACCTCACTTCACTCCTATCTACACACCTTATAAGACCTGAGAGCTTTCGATAAAAATATACGATACGTAGATTGTGATAGAACGGTTTTCTTACAACTGGCCACCCCTACAAAATGGCACGTTCCGCTAGTCCCCCGGGAGTGATAGACCAATTACAATTAAGCATCAGACGATGACGTGTGTGTGGTAGAGTCCATTGTTTCGGGTGGGTGTGACAGGGTGCGCCTTTCCTGTAGATCATAATGCACAGGACGCTACAATTTTCTTTATATCGTCTCCAAGGAGGTGTAAATTCAACGTGGAGACGTTTTGTTGCTTAGATTTTTAACATTCTTGGCGTTTCGTTCTGAAAGTTCAATGGGTAAAAAATAACCCAGTTTTTGTTCTTGTTCAGAATGTTGTAATCATACTGTTGTCAGGGTTTTTGAAAAAACTCCTTGCATTGTACTTCATCATCTTTGGTTTCGAGCCAATGGTGGCTACAAAGTATCAATGGGGCACCATTAGCATGCAATGGTGCTGTAGAGCTCTTAGACTAAGTTAGAGCATGAACCTATCTATGATGAACAGAACTAGTCTCCACCAGACTCCTTTGCAGGTTGAATAAATACTAGTAGTAGAAATCGGCCCTAGGGTAAAAGGGGATTTAATTGTAATCTCCAAGCAGATCCCTCTCGGTGGCAAAAAGACAGTATCAAATTGGCCAGGCAATATCCATTAGCCAGAGAAGCTCCATTAGCCACCGACGGGTGGGGATCAGGAAAAAAAAACGGCCATATATAAAAAGGTAACGATCATTCCCCACAACCTCTGCTTGGGGAGTAATTTAATTGGTCCTGCAGGCAAATGGACCCTCTCTTGCCGGCCAACTCTTCTGACCAATTAAACCCTTTTCGGCCTAAATTTGGGCCGATTTCTACTCTTTATTCAGCCTGCAAAGGAGTCTGGTGGAGACCAGTGATAAACAGAGGCGGGTTCTGAAATCGGTAGGGTTTATCGATAAGAAACAGCAGGGGATTTAGAACCGATAATCCGACTCATAAGTGATAAGATCTAAAGTGATTATCTCAAGCACCCAGGACGCCCCAGGGGATTGGTGACTAATCCGGAAGGCGGGGTCTCACCAAGGATAATCTCCAAGCAGATCTTTCGGTGATTGTAAGACAGCATCAAATTAGCCTGGATGCCAGACCCTTATAGCCTCTACCAGGCTTCGGGAGGCGGCTGAAAAGAGTAGAAATCGGCCAAATAGAGAGATAACATGCTAGGGGAGTTTGTCTGCTGGAGAGAACGGTTTGCCGCACCCGATCTCTCCCATGGCCCAGCAGACAAACTCCCCTAGCATGTTATCTCTCTATTTGGCCGATTTCTACTCTTTCCAGTCGCCTCCCGGAGCCTGGTAGAGGCTAAGACCCAAAGCACACTGGACCGAAAGTATCTCAGTGTGCACACTGGGTCCAGCGTGCTATGCCTATGGGTCTGGCACCCAGGCTAAATCAAATTTCAAAACGGTATAAGCAAGTTGGCCAAGCAGTATCCATTACCTGGATGAAAAAAATCTGCTGTTGTGTTTTGACGTGGTATGTAGTATATTAGCGGTTTCAGGCTCAGGCGGGACCGCAAAGAAATACTTAGTAGCATGAGACGTGGAAATATGAGCACGATCCTTTCGTGAACAACTGTGTTATGATAACAGGTAAGTTCTTAAGAGAGATGGTATAATTCTTGCTAGAGAACAAAGCAAAAGTGCATGTACTTAAATGATACTAGCCATATACATAAGGTACTACTGTATAGCGTTTCGTATCATTTGACATTCTGGATTCTGACTACTCAATAGACTTCAAATCGTCACTACGCCACCTTGCGGCTGACAGTTGTAGTGCCGCTGTGATATTTTGTCCCCATGGGAACGGATTGGCGTCGGTTTAGTGAGGTCACAGGTCAGCCATCAGCTGTTGTGTGCATACAATACATGAAGCCGTCCGCTCCAGCGAACATGCGTTTATATTATCTTCAAGCACATTTCTCCAGGGGCAAGACACTATACTAGTAGTTGGCCGATAAACTGGTTGCTGGCCGGCTTCTGCCTGCAGATTGGCCTTCTTATCCTCTTTACATTTCGGCTGTACGATGTAGTCTCCACCAGACTCCTTTGCAGGCTGAATAAATAGTAGAAATCGGCCTAAAATAAACTGGACCCTCTACGGCCGGCCAACTCCCCTGGCCAGCCACATTCTTTTAGGTCGATTTCTGCTATATTTCTTCAGACTGCTAATTAAGGAGTCTGGTGGAGACCATGAACGATATCATTTTACTGTACTACAAATGTATACGTACGGCAGGAATTTCTACCTTTGTTTCTTTGTTTTGATTTCTTTTGTGACCCTCAGCTGAGGTGATGAAGCATGTGCGTAAGTGCAATGCGGCTTCGCCACTGTTCGCGTATATACTAGTGCTATATAGCCATGCCAACCTACCGGGTCACCCCCACTTTTCTTGATAAGTGTGTTGGGTTCTTTTGCGATACGAGGTTTTAGCGCAATCGTCTTCAGACACTAGCAAGAACTTCATTCGCTAGTGCCTCCACCTCGAACATTCTCAACAAGGACACGTTTTGCCACTTCCACTGAAGCAAATCACCCTTTCTTCCTCCATTCACCACCTCTTAGGAGGAAGTTCCACGCTGAAAGCTTCTTTCCTAGAACATCACTTTGGGATAGGCTACCACGTGATTGTTTCCCACATTGGTATAACCTCAAACTTTTCAAGTCTAAGATCAACAAACATCTGTCCTCGCTGCCTGTACCGTAACCCAAAACATTTTGAGTGGCTCTCATGAGCCTTGTTTTGTGGTGAATCATGAAGAAAGTAAAACTAAAAAAAGCTATCAAAACACTCTAGAAACAAATCATCTCAAGATCTCCATGAAAATTTTATTTCATCTTTGATACACGCACGTTACTCCATTGGTCCACCTCCCAGTTCTGACATCGGACTACCATAAATAAATACAGCACCGCTCGCAACAATATCACATACAAGACGACCAGTATAGGAAACGTGTGTTCCTAACATTTACATAGTGATTGTAATGAGAATCATAACATATGCATTTTCTAGCCTCTACCAGGCTTCGGAGGGCGACTGGAAAGAGTAGAAATCGGCCAAATAGAAAGACAACATGCCAGGGGAGTTTGGTCGGCTAGAGACAACAGTTTGCCGATCCCGAACCAAACTCCCCTGGCATGTTGTCTTTCTATTTGGCCGATTTCTACTCTTTCCAACCGCTTCCAGAAGCCTGGTAGAGGCTAATACATTTCCCACAACTTTAGAAAATAAGATTTGTGTACTTTCTCTTGACACTGATATCTACTCTTCCTACCAGATACATCTGTGCTCACAATAGACAATACAGTCAAATCTGTAAATAACAACCTTCAGCGGTTTTTGTCTTTAAAATAAAACATCTGATGACTGACGACTCTCACTCACTCACTCTACCGGATAAAAATAATCGGCCATCTATGTCCTTGGTCGGTCCACATCGCGTATGCAAATATATATATACACTTGAAAGTCTACAGTACAGCGACCACTTCATACAACGAAGTGACGACGGCTCAAAAATGTCCACATTTGATTACTTCTTCCCCGTCTTCTTTACTGTCTTCTTCGCCTTGGTCTTTGTGGCCTTCTTCGCTGGCTTCTTTGCTGCCTTGGGTTTCTTCGTGGGCGTCTTCTTGGCTGCCTTCTTGGCGGCTGGTTTCTTCTTGGGACTCTTCTTGGCGGCCTTGGCCTTGGGTTTGGCTGCCTTCTTAGCCGGTTTCTTGGCGGGTTTGGCCTTCTTGGCTTTCGGTTTCTTGGCCGCTGGCTTCTTGGCTGGCTTTGGCTTCTTCACCTTCTTGACCTTGGGCTTCTCCTCCTTGCCGACCTTGAAGGACCCGGACGCGCCCTTGCCCCTGACGTGCTTCAGGTCACCTGTAAAACAAGGTCAAGTTCAAGGTCAATGGCCTGTAAATTCCTTATTAGGGATCCGGACAAAAAGGGGATACAGATTTGACAACGTGCCAAAAAACAACATGCTACAGCAAATAATCGTCTTCCTAAAAGATTCGGGTTTTGCGCTATTAAAAATCAAATGCGTAGCCATCACAAAATGTCACCGAAAAGTCAAACTTTACACTGTGACTTGTACTGCCCTCTGCAGGTCAAAAGTTAACTTTCAATTCAGAGGCTAACGTTTGTTTACAAGAAGCGTTTGTATTCAGTATTCACCTGACTTCTCCATGCGCTTGAGCGCCAGCTTGAGATGCACGTTGGCCTGCTTGGCGTTGTCGATCTTGTAGTTGGCCAGGATGTACTTAAGGATGGCCTGACGAGAAGACCCGCCGCGCTCCTTCAGGTTGGAGATGGCTGCTTTGATCATCTCATTATACCTACAAGACGGAAAAAAAAAGGTTTGTCAGTTCAAAGTCGGAAGTTACCACTACTCAATATCCATATCAATAACTGAAGTTTGAATGAGCAATAATCGTTAAAAAAGAAAAAAAGAACACATCAACATTAAAAAAAATCAAATTACAAATAATCGATGTTCAAATCAATACCTTGCTAAATTAATTTGATTTAAAATCAATTTGTAAGAGAGAAAATTGGCCTCGTAAATAGCCATGGATGGGAATAAACTACAATCTTAAGTATTTGAAACATTCTTTCGACACCATTACTACATCGGTTTTAAAAATGAAAAATTCGTAGCATGATCTGCAAATTCACGACTTCCAATCCAACCGCATAAAAAGCATACGTATCAGCAAAATCGACAAGAAAACCCGAAAATAGCGAGGTTGTATTTTTAACTCCGGAAAACAGCTGTGATATTAAATCCAAACACGGAAATAGCTGACATGTCGCTTACGGGGAAAAAAGCAAGAACGGCTGAATAAAGAAGAAGAAAAAAAAAGAATAAAGAAACCAAACAGCGCCAAAGAAAAACTCACAAAAAACCTGAAAAAAAAAACATAATTTAAGAAAACGTCCAGTTGAAACCAAGCAGTGATAATGCAAACACGGAAACAGCTAGCATGCCGCTCATGGAAAAAAAGCAAGAACGGCTGAAAAAAAAAAAGAGAAGAAACCAAACAGCGAAAAAAAACACAAACACTCTGAAAAATACCACTACTATAATTCAAGAAAACGTTTAAAAAAACATCGTACTTTGGATGGCTGGCTGGCGCCTTGGGCTTCCGTGCCTTCTTAGCCTTGGCTGGTGACGCGGCCGAATCAGACATATTGGCTGTACTAGCTGACTGCTACCGAGAGAGAAGTAATAGGCAGCAACAGACGACGTGGCGACGCGCAGCGGTTGTGGACTGAATGGGATTCAAACCTAAGCAGACGACACTACGCTGGTTACGTGCGCTAGGGCCGTGTGAGTCTGCGTGTGATACGAGGGGCGCGGCTACAAGGATTTAAATACCCGGGCTGCGGACCTCGGAGGAAACACACACAAACACATGGACGAAAATGGCCGACCTGAGAGCCAGCTGTGTTTCCTTGTCGGTATGTACCGGTTTCTTGTGGCTTTCTCCTCTTACTTATAGCCTTCCTTCTTGTGCTGTCGTAAGGGCAAGATTTTTAGCTTTCCTGGCGAGAAAGAATTAGGACTATTCCCTTGATGTTGGCGAAATGCGAACCAACTTTCGGCGATTGGTAGGGGGTTGAAAACACTATATACCGACTATAATTGTGTTGTGTTTACTATTACAGTAGGGATCGCGGTTTTTAGTATTTTACCCCGAAAGCTGAATACCTCTGCTAGTAGTATGGGCACAAGGCAGAGTGCCGATGGGTTTTAGGTTGGAAAACGGTGGGCGAAAACACAGGGTAACAAACACACTTTGGCTCGTCCGCCATCTTGCCCTGCACAGCTATATCCACCAAAAATCCCAAATTTCCCCCAAATATCTGAATTTTCACCCAAAACGTCGTTGTGGGTTAGAGGGGGACAAAATGGTGACATATAGGCAGGTTTTGACCCGCCTGGGTCGGCTTTGGCGGCGATTTTTGAGCGCCGAAAACTTTACGTGTTGTAATGATATTCAACCCAGAGATCTGTCAATTTGTCTCTTGAATGCTGCTATGGAAAATTCCTTCATAAATCTCGTCGTTTTCTCAAATTCTGTTGACTTGGCTGAAGACACACATATGGTAACTGAAAGGATTAATCAAGCTGCACACTTTGTCACAGTTTTGATGAAATTGATGTTGAGGAAGTTTGTAAAAACCCGGAAAAGTCGAGGTTTGGGCGAACTACGGCGTTTCGTGACGCGTCAACATTCTGGTCGTTAAGGTCGATTTCCTGCTGCTACAAATCCGCAAGGTTTTCCCGAATTTCGCAAAATCCGGCAACTTTTCCGAAAAATTTGGCTTCTAAATTATTCCAGGACATGCACAGATCAACATATATCAGTTTTAGCCAGCTGTTGTGCCGAGAAAGTGGAATTTTGTGGTAATATTTATTTTGGATTGTGGACGGCGCTCTGCCATCGCGTCATCCCCTTCTCGGTCGCCATATTTGCATCCACCCTTTTGACCTTCTATGGTACAAATTTCGCCGAAAACAGCGAATAAAACACAATTTCTACCCGTTACAAGACGTGTGCTATACCAGGGGTGCTGTCTGTAGCTGTGTGTGCCGTATTTTGGCCGTGATTGTTGGATATTTGGGCGGAAACGCGGGTCTTTGCCAAGCAGACAGCGCCGCTTCGCAAGCTGCACAAAGGGTGTTGTTGCTAGCTGCGCGGCTTCAAATCCAAACACGGGATATTTCACAGCTTTCCGCCTTATTTTGCTGTAAACTTGCCATTTCTTTGCACTTTCTTGACGCTAGTATATTCTAGAACTAGCAAGCCTAGTGTCAGCGGCGTTGGTTTGGAGAAAAGCGGCGTATTTGGCGATTTGTGTGGGATTTTGTGCCGATCTGAAGGGGGCAATTACGTCGAGTCTTTGCGATCGTATTTCTGCCTGAGTACAATCCGGGCTGCCGCCTTTCCTCGGACGTTTCTTGCGTCTGTTTGTCTGTGTTACAATATTAATACCTTTCAACAGCTTAACACATTAAGAATATAGATAGCTGTATGTATTTTTAGAAGTCTAGCTTCGTTTTTTGTGATGTTTCTTCTCGTTTTTGCCTTCTGCAGTGTCCACCAATTGGGTGCAGGCTTCCATGGCTGGTGCCTGCGAATGGAGGAATGTGCCGCCGACTCTCACACACGGGCGTCCGCTCCGACCAGGAGAAGTTAAGAAAAGTATCGTTCACAGCGATAAAAAATTCTAAATAAAGTCGTGAAGTCCAAATTTTAACCTTTCCAGTTGTGTAGTCCATCTGTGTTGACGGTTTGCGTGTTTGTGATGTCATACTTGTAGTATTATTTGTAGACCTGGGATTAGAGCGAACCAAAGTGCGCTCTGATTGGCTAGGAGGTTCTGTCTCCCAGACCCTCACGTCCAAGTCGCTTTGCGACCAACAGTGACATTCCTGTCCTTCCTTCTTACTATATTCTACCCTAGCCTCCATAACATGCCAAAAAACTGGGGGATTGGGGGTCTTTGGGAGCTTTTATGTGCTATTTTCTGATTGCATATAGACAACATAGCCGGCCTGGTTGAATAACCCCCGTTTTTTAGAACTGGGCTGATCAGAAAACAGCGGAAGACCACCAAACCCCCAGTTCTATAAGCCTGCTACAGAGGTTAATTCTAATTTCTACCCTGCAATTTCTCCAAACAGTTCGCACTTTGCCCTGACTTCTTTCTAGTGAAGATTTAAGGTAAACTGAGCGAACGTTGACCTTAATTCAACCCGTTGCTCTGCCGAGCGTGTCTTTATGGGTATAGTGCCCTTTGTTTATATAATGGCGTCCTTTGAAAAATAATTTGTCGTTCGCTACTTTAGTACAATAATGATCTAAATATATATATAGATCTAAACATCTTAAAATTTATGACTTGAAGAAACCATTTGCTACTTTTTGTATCGCCTTGTATGGAGGGTAGTGGTGTCTTTATGGGTATAGTGCCCTTTGTTTATATAATGGCGCCATTTACAAAATAATTTGTCGTTCGCTACTATAGTACAATACTCATTTAAATAGACCTTAACACCTTAAAATTTATGACTTGAAGAAATCCTTTGCTACTTTTTGTATCGCCTTGTAAAAAAAAGCTTTAACATCATGAAGGGTAGTGGTATGCGCTTGTCTTTATGGGTATAGTGCCCTTTGTTGATGTCATGGCGTCCATTCAAAAAACATCTTGTTGTTCGCTACTGCAGTACTTGGTTTATCTAAATAAACTTAGCCACTTTAGGAAATAATTTATGACTTGAAGAAATGCTGTGCTACTTTTTTTTAATCACGAAAACAGCTTTAGAACATAATTGAATGTTAGGTGACAGGCGCTTGGCGTTTTGTGCACTTTGCAGAGACAGATTTTCAAATCAACTTTATATTCGACTCTCTCAAGTTGTGCCCTGATCTATGAAGAAGTTAAGAAAAGTCTTTGATGATTTGTAATAAACTTGGTTTTATTGGGTCAACGTTAAGCTTCCTTCCCAGATATTTTATTGTTATTCAATCAAACTTGTGACACAACAATACAAGGTGTGCACTAGGCAGCAAGTATGCTGATAGCGTGCACACCAAATACATTACATTAGATGTAACATAGAAGCAATAATAAACAGTTAAAGTAAGGCATATACATAAATAACATCATCTAGTACATCACACTTGTATTTCTACAGTAATTATTTAGCTTACCAGATATCTTATTATCTTAGTGCAAATGAAGGTAAATTGAACCCGAAGTAAGTACTTGTATCGCTAACCAAGCAGCACAGTGATTGTAGCTACCAGATACTCTCCAAGCAGAGGTTTGGGTTTTGGCTTATTTTTGGCGTGTTTTGGGGCTTTTTATAGAACTTTCTTTTTTTGCATTGGTTTCTTTTTTACGCCAACCCAGTGCAAAAAAGAATGCCCGATAAAATCTTATAAATGCGCCAAAAATAGGCTAAAACCCAAACCTCTGCTTGGAGAGTAGCTACCAGATGAACTTAAGAGAACACGTGTCGTTCCGTAACGTTAATCATTCTCTAAGCGTCATGTATACCTTCTATTCTGTGTAATATTTAACACGACTTCCTCCCCACGCTTTGGGTAGACAGAACTATTAAGCAATGTAAATACTTTGTATTGACTTCTGTAAACTGCATCATAACATAATCAAAGTTAAATGTTGGATGTCAAAGAAAATAAGCGAAAGTCCGCTTTTAATGGAGAAATATTTCGGGCGCATATAAGTGTATTTGGAGCTTGCAGACTCCGTAGCAGGCTTATAGAACTGGGGGTTTGGTGTTTTTCGGCTGTTTTCTGATCAGCCCAGTTCTAAAAACGGGGGTAATTCAACCAGGCCGACTATGTTGTCTATATGCAATCAGAAAATAGCACATAAAAGCTCCCAAAGATCCCCCCAAACCCCCAGTTTTGGCATGCTATGGAGGCTAGCATATCACTAGTATGATGGGAGTTCCTGTGAACTACAATGTACCTTCCCGAGTTCCACCGACTCCGTTCTTTTGTCATACTACAATGGAACCCCAGATTGACCCACCGGCATTATGTATGTGTATTGCTGACGAAGCCAAACCTGTCGTTACATTATTGATAAGGTCATAAACAACCCACGTGAGCTTGTAGAGCTCGATTCAACAGGAGCTGCCGGTCTGATTTCATTGAGAAGCACGTTAATCATTGTACAGATGAACGGGTCGGGGTTTGTGTTGATTACTGGGTTGTTTGTAAGTAAGTAGTCACGATAATTGTATCTCAAATAATAGATCCATGGTACTAGTATGCGGAGTCGCCGCATAGCCTCAACCAGGCTTCAGAGGGCTGGGAAGAGTAGAAATTGACCAAATAGCGAATAAAAGCTGATAACTCCTTTAGTTGACATATACCGGGTATGTTATATCGTGCGTGTCTATTTCGCAAATTTTTATTCTTCTAAAGCCTGGGAGAGGCTTTCCGCTTCGGGCCTTTTCTTCAAATTATCTTGTGGTATTGAGAACAACACATTAAATCAATAGCTTAAGAGGCGTAACGCCTTTACTAGTCATTTTAACGAAATTGCGCTTTATTACAATTGCTTCTGTTAATTGCCTTTGGACTTCGGCCTGATTATCCGGCGTATGTGTACCGCACGTAGCCTCCACCAGGCCTTTCTACGGGATTACGGATCGTAGAATTCGGCAAAACGGACAGTAAAATTGGCCAGGTGAGTCAGTCCGCGGAAGGTTTTTTTTTTTCTTTCCTAACTGCGCGGCCAGTCAAACCTACAAGGCGGCCAAACTCCCCTGGCAAATATTATCCTATATTTAGTATATATAGCCAGCGTAG